ACGTGAATGTCTCAAAGTGCCAGAGTTTTTTTGCCATGTCATGAAATACATCTTTATAGAATTCGGGTGGCGGTCCTTCCTATACGGCTCATATGTTCGTCTGGCCCTGACGCTGGGCTTGACAGTGGGTGTGATCACTTCGGACAGCCATGAAGTTCGATGCTTACGACTCATGTGACTTGCGACGATGCACGTGACAATGATTTGACCGCGATGAGGGTGAGGATAGTGATGGCTGTGTCACGATGGTCGCGGTCACGACGTCGATGATAATGATGGCCATGGTTGCGCTGATGATGCTGTTGGTGATGACGTGAATCATCTGGGCCTCTTCTGGTGCTGTTGTTCAGACTAGCATTTTCCTGTGCTTCGTGTCATCATCGTCTGCCTTCAATGACGTGTGCCAGTACCTGGGCGTCAATGGGAAGAACTACTATGCGAAACCGTGGGGCAACGACTCCTCCAATATCCAGGCACGGGAGCGTTAGGGACAGATCTCGCAGCCCTGAACTGAGACTGAAGAATCAAGGGTGATCCCAGCAAAGCCTTGAGCCCGAGAGGGGCCTCCTTTTGACGAAGGCGGTGATTAATGGACCATCCTACTGGAAGTCGGGCGCCTCAGAAACCCAGACTCGGCGGCTCAACCTTCGCCAAACCCTGTCGAGTCAGATACAATAGTCATTCAATAGTCGTTGTAGCATTGAAGACAACTACACGACGACTGCTACGACTAGTCTGACCAAGCAAGAGTGAAAGTGTCCGTGGGCTGGAACGAGCCGCTGCTGGGCACTCTGTCAGAGGCGTGTGTACTATCGCGAGAACATTGCGGCGCGGTTCGCACGTGAAGATGCGGAGGCAAGGATCCAGGACAGGGTTTTTTTGCTCTAGGAGAAATTACTGGCCCATTGTGGGGGGCTGAGACAGCGACGCCTCAAACAGGATTGCTGAACACTCCCTTCAGTTGCTGCACATCATGCTCCCATTCTCGAAGCCAGACCTCAATATGCGCAACAATGCGCGGAAGAGCATGGTGTGCCGGACCCCGTTTTACTGTTGGCAGGCAGCCGAACGCAAGGCTCAGGCTGAGATAGCAGAGGCACGGATGGAGTTCCAATCCAAGCTTGGAGTCGAAGCTCACCTCTCCCCCGCTGAGCCTCTGATCCTTCAGTCGAAAACCCAAAGCCCGCGAAGCTTCAGAGTCTCGACACCCGCAACACCGAACCCTCTTGCCTGCTACGCCTGCCACTCCTCACTAGACCCGAACCCTAAAAGCCAAGCCCAGAGCCACCGCAGAGAAAAGCAAAGCTTAATGCCCTCCACCCAAATCACTCAAGCCTCGCTCTCAAGCCTTCAACAGCTTTTACTTATGAGGTCTTGTAGTCACCAGTTTCCCGAGTTAGCGGTTGGGCTTTCAACGGATGTAATGGGTGCCCAGGCTCCAGCAACACAAGACGTGCCATGGATGAATGGCAGTCCTCATGCTACTGGTGCCAAGACACTCAACATATCGTTGTTGCATGTGTAGCAAGAGCCTCAGGGGCAGAGTAGCAACAGCAGTATCAACAATAAGGTCGAACATCCAATAACAGCGAATTAGTTGGTGTAACCGCAGAATCAGCCACCACCACCGTTGAATCAATATTTTCCCACAGAAAGCAAGCCGACGCACCGCAGACTCAAGCCCTCCACCCTAACGAATTCAAAACTCGAGTGCCTCAGCCCCTCTTCGTCGGTCCTTAAGCTCGAAATCCGAAGCTTTAGAGCACCGATTGCCAAAGGCCCTTTCGAACGGGGCAGGTGAGGCGCCACCGAGGCAGGAAGCAACACTGTAATGCTTAAGCACCGAATGGGCATAGGAAGTGGAGATTATTAGTGTTGGTTACATGTTTTGCATGGACATGATGATTGTCGATTTTAGTGATGATAGGGGGGGTCGGGGTGATGATGGTCATCATCCCAGTGGCATGGAGAGGCGATCGCAGTCGGAAAGCGCCCTGCAGAAGCCGAAGACCCTCGACGTGACGTGGCTGCAGTTGCCCGGTCACCGAATCTTATAAATCATTTTCGGAGTATACCAACCCTGAACACCAAACCCAAAAGCCGAGACCGAAACCCTGAACCAAACCAGAAAACTCCCTGGCCTTCACAGACAGTCATTATGCCGAGCAGCATGGAGACTTCAGCCTGTTTGCCTGAAGTGTCATGTGTGCGGACACTCTCAACGAATTTACCCAAGCCGTGCGCAGATCATTCATATTATTTAATTACACGTGTGCACGTATGTACACCCTATGCATAACGTATGCATGCATATAGGTAGAAATAAAAAAGAGAGAGAGATATATATATATATATATAGAGATAGAGAGAGAGAGAGAGAGAGAGAGAGAGAGAGAGATAGATAGAGAGAGAGAGAGAGAGAGAGAGAGAGAGAATGAGAGCAACAACTTTGGCAAAGGCGCACAACCTCTTGTTCGCTTGGACCTCAGCCATATGGGGTCAGCCGATCCTGCTTGTGGAGAACGAGGTGAACAGCCATGAGGCAGATGCAGGGGGAGCGCCCCTTCCTCATGGAGCGGAGACACCTGGCTCTCCTTCAAATGCCACTACGCAAGCCTTCAGGGCGGCAAGCCCTCCCCGAGAGCGACCTCGCAGACGTGAACCAGGAGACCTTCGACGCCACTCGTCCCACAGAAGGCGACGCTTGCATGCGCCTTTTTCATGGCACGCCGGAGCAAGAAGATGAAGGCGGAGAACAAAGTGATGCGGACGGTCCACCATGGTGAGAACGGGAAAGTCGGACCCGTGACCATGAGCTTTTCCAACTTTTCCTTGCCCTAGCTGGCGTACTAGTTACCCGCATGGTTCCGGTTTTAGTGTTCCAGTGCTGCTCTATGTGTTGCTGCCCTCGTACTGAGCCGGCTAGAAAGGGCAAAGGAGGAAAGGATCTCAAAACCATCTTTCTTCTGGTGGGGCCCGACTCTGCGCACTCGACCCTCTTAGGCCCCCTGCCTAGGACCCTTTGTCATGCTGAGCTTTGTCATGTTAAACCTTGGAGAGGGCCATGACGGAACCCCAGCCACACGGGGGCTCACCCCTTTGCCCTAGACCAGTCGTTGTCCCTGCTTATTGTCATTACCGCTACACTGATGCGCTTTGGGTACTGGGAGTGAGTCCTGATCCAGTCTCACCCGCCTTTCGACCAAGGGGGCGCCCTTGAAGCAAACCTGCTGTGTTTCGTAGTACCTCTTTCGGGCCCAGTACCGCACTAAGTAGCAAGACCTGGCGTATTGTGAACCTGCAAAGCTTTTCTTGTTGCATACTGTTTCAGTTTTGTTGACCTTGTGAGGCCAGGCTTAGATAGCGGAAGCCCGAATTCGCCCAAAGAGGGAAACAGCTAGGTTCATAGTTTTCTTTGTCCGAAACTTACAATGCCTGGCGTACTGTGACCTTGCAATACTTTACCTAGTTCTATTTTGTCCTGATTTCTCATGTGCTGTTGACCTAGTGAGGCCAGGCTTAGGTAGCGAAGGAGCATGCCTTGCATTGGGGCCAGGGGAGACGTCCTTCAACAGGTCAGACCACATGCTTCTTGCTTCATGGTCATATTTAATTCTGCTCCTAGTCTGAACCTGACCTGAAACCTCGCTTTGACCTTCCCTCGTAAACCGCGATGCTACTGGGAATAACCCCGGCTCAGCATCTCCGACTGTGACATGCAGCTTCGCTTTGTTTGAGTTGACCAGATATTCTGATGGCTTTTCGGAGTGCAGTTGCTGAGGGCAGAGCCCGGTCCTTTTTCGACGATCGAGAGCCGTGGTCAGAGGATTGCCTGTAATCCCCTCCGCAACAGTCGGGGGCGCATGCATGAGCGCGCGGCGTAGGGGGTCAAACCTCTATACCATAGCCTTGGCGAAAGAAAAGAGAATGAGAGAATGAGAGAGAGAGAGAGAGAGAGAGAGAGAGACAGAGACACACACACACACACACACACGTACATATGTATGCCTGCATGCATGGATGGGAGGATGGGTGGTGCACGGGTGCACGGGTGGATGGGTGGATGGGTGGATGGGTGGATGGGTGGATGGGTGGATGGGTGGATGGGTGGATGGGTGGATGGGTGGATGGGTGGATAGGTGGATGGGTGGATGGGTGGATGGGTGGATGGGTGGATAGCTGGATGGGTGGATGGGTGGATGGGTGGATGGGTGGATGGGTGGATAGCTGGATGGATGGATGGGTGGATGGGTGGATGGGTCGGATTGATGGATTGATGTATTGATTGATGGATGGATGGATGTGTGTATATACTGTGTACATATATATATATATATGATGCAGGGCTGCCACACCCGGATCCCCTTCGTCCCCAAGCCTTTCTCCTAAATCTCAGGTTCAGGATGGTGTGGGAGTTTGGGATTGGGGGCAGTGCCTGCAGATTGTACTTTATTATTTCATGTCATTGGCGGGTTCCCTCCAAAATAGCACCGAATCATCCGAATCATTTTGATTCGGTCCCGGCGCTGGATCCAAGATCCAAGATTGCCCAGAAGTTTTGCGCGGGCAATCTTGGATCCGACCCTCATCCGAATCATCCGAATCATTTCCGAATCATTTTGATTCGGGCCCGGGCCCGGATCCAAGATTCAAGATTCAAGATTGCCCAGGGGTCTTGCCAAGGAATCTTGGATCCGACCCTTCATCCGAATCATTTCCGAATCATGTTGATTCGGTCCCGGCGTTGGATCCAAGATCCAAGATTCAAGATTGCCCAGGGGTCTTGCCTGGGCATCTTGGATCCGACACACCCATTGGATCCAAGATTCCTTGGCGAGACCCGTGGGCAATCTTGAATCTTGGATCTTGGACCCAGCGCCGGGACCGAATCAAAATGATTCGGATGATTCGGATGAAGGGCCGGATCCAAGATTCCTTTGCAAGACCCCTGGGCAGTCTTGAATCTTGAATCTTGGATCCGGGCCCGAATCAAAATGATTCGGAAATGATTCGGATGATTCGGTTTCCCTCCTTCCTACTCGGCGTGTGTATTGTCATGGTAGTTATAACATCTGGTTTGTCATGAAGTATGCCAGTCACTATTCAGTCAATACTGTGTTTGCTGCTTCAGGAGATGTAAGTCCAGCACGATTCTGAGTATCGTTTTTATCGTTTACACGTTAACGTAATCCTCCATGATCTAGCCCATTGTGCAGTAATCTGCTCAATCAACTTCATCGTCATTGCAGTTATCCTACCGTCAACACCAAAATGAACATCTTATGTTCCAGACTTATTTCCCGGCTCCCCTTCGCCTTCTATTGTCATGTTGGTTATATGCAACGTCTGGTCTTTTGTGAAGCATGCCAGTCATTTACGTTACCATACAGCTGTGACTGCCGTGATTCATCCCGTCATTTCTGTTTTACTGTTTGGACATGTAGACTAGCACAGCAATTCCATTCCAGCGGCGTCCGTACAATTAGGAAAACTGAAGTTCATACTGATAGAACTGTTGATACGCTTTTGACATGTGCAAAAATGTTGATGAAATTTAGTCGGCCTAACCACTAGTTTTATAGTTTGACGGATTGGCCGGATTCATTTGTTGGGCACACATATGACATATGTGCTCTTGCGATGTGATTACATATGTTGCTGCATGTTTCGTGAACATCTTCATGAAATCAGTCCTTTCATGCTGTATGAGACTAGGCATGAACCTCTGCCTGAAGACGGTACTGTGAGAAGACCACTTACTTTATCGTCTTCGTCCGTTACCGTTTACGGAACTTGACGTATCGTCTACTCTTGCTTAGGACTGAAGCCTTGGCTCAGGGAAATTTCGTGTTATATGGAAAATGTATCGGCATCGCTTACACTTTTCTAAAGGTACATGTATAACGTGTGTTGCTTCCTGCTTGGATGGGGTGTCTCTAGGTGGTGCACCTTCACGTTTGTACTTCTTTAACTGATGCTTACAGTAAAGAGCACTACCCAGTACAGTCACCGCAAAACTCTAACATACAGGAGTCTTTATTGGTCATCATGCATTAGGTGCGAAACATGTAAACGACTCTGTAAGAACACTCAAGCTCCAGCTCGATAGGATGGACATGATTCAGATGATGCATAGGCTAAAGATTACCAAGCTCAGAATAAACATGTAAACCTTACATTTCATATCAATACAAGACAGCGACAACAACAAATTTATCTAGTCAGTACCAATTACAATATAGCTTAACATTTACTTTTACAGGTGGGGCTAGTATGAAGCAGGGTGAACAGTAGCCACGGGACTAGCGTACCTAGGAAACTTTGTTTTAAGACATACTAATACAGGGGAAATAAAGAGTGTTAGCTGGGTTACGTACCTAGGAAAGTTTTTATTCAGACATAGTAAGACAGGTGGAAATAAAGAGTGTTAGCTGGGTTGGTATTACTGAAGCAATCAAAACGGTGGGTATAACCATAGTAGTACGGACACTGGTCACAGGAAGAGCATCATTGGTAAATATAACAGTGAAACTACACTTGGTGCTGGCATAGAAGAAAATATTAGTACTTTCGTGTACTTTGCATACAACCAAGAACAGTGGAGATTGGAAAGGTTTGTATTGCCACGACGACGATCCCGCACAATTCAAGCGCAAAGCGTGGGTACATGAGGGGGCGGGTAGCATATATATATATATATATACGCATACACACCTACAGTGTGTATGTGCATAGTATAGGCATCGTTTAATCACCACACGTCTGACTTCCCCCTTGTCCCAGGCAAAGGACACGTACGCGCCCATCAAGGACTCCGGAATTTCGATGTTTGTTTGATGGTGATGGGCTGTGGTAATTGTCGCTATGTTCATGATCATCGTTGTAGTTTTCTGAAATAGACGGTGCTTGAAAAGCGGGTACAAAGTTCAGCTTCCCGTATACCCGTGGTATACTTCCTGCAGGATGCAAGATGATAGGTCAGGAAACACCGGTTGATCATGTTGGATCTGCAGCAACAACCTTTTCATATTCACTTTCCTGCGATGTGTTAGAATTTAGAAACCCAGCAGCACCAAGTGTTTCAGTGTCCGGGTTCCTTCAAACAAACAACGGTACTCCACTTTGGTACCATTATCGATGGCACAGGCCCCCTGCATGTTGTCTACCAAGTAAACAGGAGAACATGAAGCCTTTCGTGGAGAAACAAGGCGCTGCTTGTTCGGAGTTCTGAGGGTTCCTGTCAATATTTCTTCTGTCTCAGGTACGTTCGTAGGCTTCGTTGGGCCAGTCCATGGAAAGAGGTTTGTGACTTTTGCAGCAGAAACTGACAAGCTACAGCAGCCTGAGCCGTTGTACCATTGCACCATCCACGAGTCGAGGCGGTTAGGTCGCGCAGTCCTTGAGACTTCATCCAGATCAGACCAGAAGTGATGTTGGGCTTGATGAGTTTAGTGTCTATTCTACTGGCGAGTTAATGGCGTGGCTTGGCCACTCCGGTGGCACAGACTCGGCGTTCTCACCTTCGATGTGCTTCGCAGATTGCAGTATGCTAGGTGAGTACTCTCGCCGCCACGGTCACTGCGAATCCGGAACACCAGCAGCTTAATGAGTATAAGCTCGAGTCCGGACTGCTAAGGGCCTACCCACCAAGCTACCGGAGCTTCATACTAGCTTGGCGCTAGCCCGAGCCTCTTAGTTTATTTGGTCCCACGCTTCAATGAATGCCAGCAATTCTTAAACCCTCACCCCGAATGCACGCGCCGGGGCGCAGGCAAGCCACGCATCAGAGCTATGGAGGTGCCGGATCTTTGAACTATTCAGCCTTCACAGCTTTTCTTTTGGGGTTCGGGGGTGTGGGGATCTACAAGTATCTTGGGACCGGTTAGATTCCCGTTGCTCCCAAGTCAAGATCATGACCTTTGCTCTTGACCTATTTAAGGATCAGTCTTTCTTTCTTTCAAACCTTGAATTTTCTTATGCTGCTGTATTCCGTTCTGGCGCCGTTGCTGCCATTGTACTTTGGTCCATATCCGTTGAAAGCATGGGATGCAACAACAACAACAACAACCTTGCGATCAGAGACTAATCTCGAAGACTGCAAGAGCCGAACGAGTGCATGGATTAGGCAGCACAAGATCGAAGCTCCCTAGCCTACTTCGAATCGCATTCCGGGTGCCTACATGCAGAGTTTCTGGATTGTTTATCACGTCCAGGACGTCATCTGATTTTGTCGAGAAGGCATGACAAGAGGTTTCAGCCTCTGGTTCAGAGAGGTGCAAGAAGGTGAGGGACTTTCTGTTAAAGGTGCCCGTACTCTTGAGAAGCCACAGAATATCTCCGAGCCTTTCGGGCATGTTCCGAGGCCGGAGAGCGATTGCACTTCTTCAATACCCTTCACAACAAGTACCACATGAAGGCAGTGACTTGTGGATTGCAAATCCTGCCCAACAGGATTCGGAAATGTGGTGGCTTGCCTGAAGCGCATGAAGGTTGTGATGTGCAGCCTCCACCGTATCTGCAGTGAGCCCTGAACTCCTTCTGCAGGCTGGTGGCAAGAACCTGGAGTGGAATGTTTCCAAGCAGGCCTCGCCCTCGCCTCTCCGATCGCTCGGGATGTCGTAAACGCATCAGAGACACCCTCAAACTCAAAGCTCCAAGTTTCTGTTGCCAGCACTTGCTGTTGGCAACCTGCTCCCCGCCTCTGCCGCCCGCAGACCCACCGAAGTACCAAGAATGAGCTGAACTGGATCTTGTCCAACTACTTCCGCACTGACTCGCATGCCGCCGGCTTGGCTCTGCTCTTGAGGATGTACGGTTTCCAAAACGTTACCGGGACTCAGCAGGTCAGCGCATGTTGGGCATAGGGTCAGTTCTTCCATGTCTTCCTCCCCTCAAGAAGTTTGTCCATCGCGCTCAGGACTGGGACCCAAGCCGAGAGATAGGTCAAGAAACCTGCAGCGTTACTGTCATCGTCGGGATCTTGCCCTTCCTTGAACTCATGTGTATAGCTCTTGTCCAAGCAACTGCAAAGCCATCGAACGACTAAAGAGCTGATGCGAAGATCGCCAAAGAACGTAGAAAAAATTGAGCCAGCAAGCGGGTTCAGGCTTCCCTCAGAAAGACCCCAAGCTGCGCAAATGTCGCTTCGCATTTTTCTGTCCACACTGCTGGAAGCCCGCCTCCACCCTGAACCCCAGTGCGAAAACAGAGCCCTCAAAATAGCACCCTAAACCCTGTAAAATCCTAAACCCTATTCCGCAATCATGCGCCTGCCCAGGCTGTCCTAAAGGGAGCAGGGCACGACTGATGCGACGAAGCGCAAGAAGAAGGTGGCGGATTTAGAAGCTCAGGCTCTATCTATCTGTCTAGCTGTCTATCTATCTATCTATCTATCTATCTATCTGTGTGTATGTGTGTAAAGATATCTTTATCTTACTTATATATCATTATATGTGTGTATGCTTAAATTTGGATATCGTATTCTAATGTGTGATATTAAACCACATTCTATTAATGATATGACATGATATGACATGGTATCAGATTAGGCTAGGTCTACCATATCATAGTATATATTATGCTGTTTTCTTGTGCACGGTCTATTGTCTTCTAATCCGTTCTATTTTACTATAAACCATTATTACATTATACGATGTTATATGTATCTATACATACATACATACATATATATATATATATATATATATATATATATATATATATATAAATATATATATATATATATATATATATATATGCGCACATACATCATATACATGCAAACATATACCGGGTACATATCTGTGTGTACAAATACATATATATATATATATATATATATAGATGTTTTTTTATATGTTCCTTGCATGCCTATGTCTGTAGACACACAAGTATGCACATTATACATGTGTATGTATATGTACATGTACATACGCATGTAATGTTTAGGTATGGATACAGTTGCTCATATGTGTACGCACCTATGTGTGTAGATATTTATGTATACTACACGCATGGAGATAGCTATCTAGCGAGCTGGCTAGATAGACTGACAGGTATGTCTGGAATTTACGTATACTCTACCTTACTCCACAATTCCGTGTCTCAGGATTACGGTGTAGGACTTGTCGATCTAAGGCCAGAGGTTTTTGGACTGCTGTGTTCAGTTTAGATTGTTGTCTCTTGAACCCTGCTGAGATTTAGAGTCTAAAGAGCCCGCCACAAATCCCAAGCCCTGAAGGATTTCAACTCTTTAATCCATGTGTCCACTCTCAAAGCCTTGAGCAAAAGTTCCAAGCTCCAAAACGCTCTGAAAGCGCCGCCGCAAACTCCACACTTCAGAGCGAATGTGATACTGAAGCTCGAACTTCAATTCGCGTCTGGGCCTAGTCCAAAGTCTCACGCTGTTCCAGCCCCTTCAACCAAAAGGAGATGTATATATCGGAAGTAAATATTCTGTATTGTTCTGTACAGCGTGTGTCTGCTTGCATGGTACACTTTACAGCGTACATATTTTCTATTGCAGATTGTATTCCAGAGGTTCTATATCATATGTAATGTACCTTTGCTTCATTATGATGTTTTACACATGATATGAGTTTCTGTTATGCATGTAAGGTTTTCAGGTATGTAGTGAGTACTCAAGATCATGGTATGTTATATGGTAGGCTTTGTTCATGTGCCTTGTTGCATCAAATCGTGCATATCACATATTGCACATTATACACTATTTGTTCAGGTTTTTGGATGTTACTGCAGATTATAAAGCACACGGCTTTGCTCATGTATTATGCAGAACAGTATATGTTGTGGGGGATATGGTAATTAGATATATGTACACATCAATATGTATATATATATACACGTATTATACTATTTAAGAATATATGTTATGTTGCATTATATCATACTGCATTATCTTATACTCTACTATGTGTTCTAACACTGGTATTTGTTGTTGACTATTGTGCTTTCATGTCATGTTATGTCACAGCTTACTGTAATGTAATGTAAATTGCACTATACTTTGTTTTATTCTACTATAGACTATGTTGTAGTCCATTTTGTTGTGTTATTTGTCATCCCGTTTTCATCCCGTACTATCTGAGATTACATCATATTGTATTCGTATGGGGCGGTTTCTTCACCTGTGCATGTGAAGGTGGATGCCTGCGCGGCTGAGAGGACAAGTGGTTCCCTTCGTGGGCCTGAGTGCCCCAAGACAGAATGTTACCGTTGCGACTGCGATCTTTGGTGGCGTGCGAGGGGGACGGTGCGGTCTTGTTTCGACCAATGGGCCCATACCCAAGTCTCACTGCCATCTCATTCATGATGCTCTGAGGCCTGGCAGCATGCAAAGCATGTCTGTGCGGGATGGGCAGGAGCAAAGAAACAAGCGTCAGAAGGATCGCACTCGAACCTCCGAAGTCTGCACCTTGAACCTCAGGGAATCCTTTGTCAAGGATCGGGAGGAGTTGCAAACAACCCTTGCCATTGTCATGGTGTAGCGAGTTTGTGTCTGTGTATTTGTATGTGTGTGTGTGTGTGTATGTGTATGCGCGCGCGCGGGTGTGTGTGTGTGTGCACGCGTGCAAGCCTCATTGCCAAACCAAGCCATCTCGGATGGTTGCGCCAAGGACGACGCTGCATTCAAGGTCGTGCACAAACCTAAGTCGCAAGAAAGTGCCTCTTCTTCCAGAGGAGCGGTACCTGAAGGATCTACTCAGCGCAAAGGCAACTTTTGTAAAGAGTTCCAATTTCACAAGAAAACAAGCATTTTACATAGTCTATGCAAAACCCATGACGCGTTACAGATTAGATGTTCTGCATTACAGGTTGTATGCCATACATATGCGGCATACTATATATTTTATGTGACATTCTAGAAACTGTGTCCAGGTCGAAAGCCTGAAACTGTAGGCCGGCGGTACTAATCCTTGAGGGGGATGTTAAGCTCTCAGACCTGAAGCGCAGATCTCACCTTTCGGGAGGAGAGCATATGGGGTGTAACGGCTAGATGGTGCAAGATCGACGCATAGCAGTTGGAGAAACACCAGCAAGGATGTGGATACGGAGCCCTCTCTGAGCGAGCTTCTAGTGCATGATGTTGCCCGCGGTGCAGCTGGATCCAGCCAGCATAGCCGGCAAGTGTGTTATAGTGTGTTTGTAGGGATGTGAGTCTTCACCGTTATAGAGAAGAACCAGGTCACTCGGGTAGACGCCAGGCTTTCAACTCGTCTTCAAGTCTTAGGGGTCAGCAGGAGGCAACTCAATAGCTTTCCTACAGCTTTGCATTTACCATCTTCGCAAGTGCAGCCCCAAGTTATCTGCAGGGTGAGGCTTCGCCCGGAGTTCGTAGGTGTTCTTAAGTGCATTCTTATTGAGTTTCTGTCTTCATCATGTTCTTCTCTGAGTTTTTCGATGGCCGCACTGCGTCAGTGGACGGATCTGCCTTGAACTGCGCTCTGTCTGCGGGATTGCGTAGATGAAGCGCCGCTTGGCTGCAATTCCTTGAATCAGGTGCCCAAAACCCAACTTGATTCAAGTTGCTCTTTTCTGATGTTCGTCAAGAGCTCTGGACACAGACATCGTAATCTAGGCCGTGCATTTCCCCCACGCTTTCGGATGGTCTGAAAGAGGTTGACTCGTTTGCATTACTGTCAACGGGGCAACAATGCTCTGCTGTTTGGAACCACTTGTTCCTGGGGCTTTTGAGCGAGTTGGGATCGCTTGGGTTTTTGACTTCGGACTTTGTGAGACCTTCCGGTTTTTGTTGGAGGGCCAGGTGGTGTCGGGGTGGGTGATTGGGGGGGGGGGAATGACGACAGCGCAGTTTGGGCCGATGGACAGCACCCCTCCCCCTGCACAAGGCCGCAGTGAGGCATCTGCATGGACGATCGTCGTTATCATTATCATACTGTCAAACTGGTATCATCAACATCATGACAAGAGCTGTTTCTCTTATCAAACAAGCATCCTGATCATCATGCTAGCAGCAAAAACCCTGCGACTGTCAGTATTGCTTGAGTTTCCGTGCGTATGTGCGATACGGCGTCTGGAAGTGCACGTTACTGCGGATATGTGCGATGAATACCAATGAGTTCGGTGCCGGTAAGCAGTTCCCTGATGCTGCAGGGATTTCCTTTTCTGGTACCGTTCCATGCTGTGTTACGTCTATGTCCGACACTTTCCAACCTCTTGTTATCTCATTGAAACACTCGTCCCGGGAGACCCTTCACCGACATGCCACTTGTCACGAGTTAATGGGAGGTAGCTGTCGGTATATCCAGTGATGACAGCCTAAACGCTGTCTTGAATCCGCACCCTGGCCCCGACCGCCGAGGAGGTCAGGTTTGGGCTCGCGGGTTGTGCTTTTCCGGGAATCTGGTGTCGGTGGTATAGGTTCGGGATTCAGAACTTGGGCTTTACGCTTCAGGGAACCCCCAATAATTCAGACGAAAGTGCAAAGGATGTGGTTCCACCAGTGGGATCGCCTAGAGCTCCACGCAAGCACCACGGCAAACTTCAGTCTGTTCAGAAGCAGGTGCTTTTGTGCACCGCTTGGGTCACCTGTGTCTATATATGTCTATGTGTCTGCTGGCCCAGCTGCAGGGTGTTATTTCAAAGTGCTCGGTATCCGCCTGAGGTTCTCCCCGTATGCAATACTCCTGAAAGAAACCCGCGTGGCTTTCCGCCGGAGCTAGTGCGCTACTTTGAAGCGCATACTAGAGTACATTAAAAAGGAAGAGGATGAGCCCAGGCGCTGAGTCGCATCGTCGTAAATGATAATGAAGGATTAGTATGAGGCTTACTGAGCTAGGGTGCTTGCTGTCCCATCGTAGGTAAGAGGATCCCAACCTCTTTTTCGAACATGCTTCCCGCATGTAATGAAGCGATCGGCACGTCGATCAGATCTGTGGGAAGCAGCCGGATCCCCGTACAACCTTCATCCAGAAGCCTGAGGAATCCTAGTGGCTCCTGCGGTGGTGGAGCTGATCCTACTGGGGAGGTGAGGTCAAACTAAAGTCTGAAGTGGGCCTCTTCAGCCAGGACCGTATTCGCTGCGAGCCTCATTACATCACTTCCCTGCCAGGTGTGGCATCCGGTCCTTGACGACACGCGGCATTACCTTTGATTATCTTTCTTCACCATAGTTTGGAATGACGCAGGCATCCAGATGCATTGGAAGATTTTGAGCCTTGAGTCTGCAGACCTTGGTTCCAAGGCTTGGGTAGTCAGGAACTGAGCTGTTTAGTTGCTAAGCTTCCTTGAGGCAAGTTGAAGCCTGTGTACGGTCTGATGGAGTTC